TAAGTTTCTTCCAAGTTCTTTTAGTGAATCGAATGAAATTTTGAGAGTAAAAGTTACTATAAGTGCTACATATTTTAATGCTAAAAAAGTGTCGATAAATTCACCAGGGACGTGCATATGGGTTATCACTGGAGTATTTTTCATAAAATAAACATGTGCGCCACTGACTTTTTTCTTTTTATATCAAAATTGTGTATGCCGTTTAATGCCAATTAAAAGTTAGGTCTTCATATTTTGTCGAATTCGGCCTCCTTGATGCGATAAACGCAATTTTATTAATCACTATTAATAAAATTAAAATAAAAATAAATTTATTAAATTATATAATATATTTTACCTAATTTGTTATCAAATATTATTACTATTACTTATTATTACTATTAGTCCAACCTACAGCAATTTGAAATAAAAAAAATATTAATATTTAAGATAATTACAAAAAAAAATAATTTTAAAAATTTTTAACATCCTGTGACTCTAAAACTATGTATTTCCATACCCATCTTTATAGGAACCTTTTTTCATACTTTTTGATGAGGAATCAATGAGTATTTATTTAAAACTTTCTCAAGTTAATGATATATTTTTAAAGGTTATTGATAGTTGACTTGGGTCAACGCAAATGAATAAAATTGCGTTTATCTCATCAAGGAGGCCGAAATCGGCAAAATATCAAGAGACAACTTTTAATCGGCATTAAACAGCTTACAATATTTTGCTAACAAGAGAAAAAAGTCAGTGGTGTACAGGGTGTCCCACTAAGAATAGCTCTCGGCTGTATGTCGGAAAGAGCCGTAGGGCCTACGGAAAAAAATATTTTTTTATAACTGAAGGGGCTATGAGAAATTGCTAGGGCTTATTTTTTGGTATTTATTATAATTTTGCTAATATCTTCGGTGTGAAAGAAGATCTCAAGATGCGGTTTTTGCTAACTTCTTTAATCTATTACTACTCTTTACTATCAGCTAAAATTAGATATACAATCGTATTTAACTATTTTGAAAAAATGCGCAATGTTTGTTAAATTGTAAGACAGCGCCCCCTAGCGCCTACGTTCAAAACCTTATTACTGTTATTTTAATGGTGTAATATAGAGTAAGAAACGCTCTTTTAAACGAGCCCTCGTTTGTTGGATTCTGATAATCCAGAGAGAGTCCGGAGTTATTAACATTTAAATAAAGATAGATCTAACCTTCCCCCACCACTTCATTTTAGCAGATAGGGGAAAATGGTTCTAACAAAAAAAGTCCAAAATTTACTGAAGATTATGAAACTACTATTTACGTACTATTTATAGTACCCATTATCTAGGGAAAATTCTGTAAAAATTCTATTTTCTTATTTTCCATAGCAGTTGCGCCCTCTAGCGGCCGTTTTACAAACTTGAAAATAATTTCCAGCAATTTCTCATAGCCCTTTTAGTTATAAATATTTTTTTCCGTAGGCCCCACGGCTAATACCTTAGTGGGACACCCTGTACATGCTTTTTTTAGAAAAATATTCCAGTGATAACTCCCTGGTGAATATGTTGACACTTTTTTAGCTTTAAAATATGTCGTATTTATAGTAACTTTTACCCACAAAATTTCATTCGAAACTCTAAAAGTAATTAGAAGAAAATTATAATAAATCGAAAAAATATTTAGACTTAACACCCTGTAAATACGAAACAAAGTTAATATGAAAAATAAATCTTATTTTTACGTGAAGAATCTCCCCACGAGAGATGGCACATGTTTTATGAAACACCCTGTATATAAACGTTTTTTCATAAAAACATGCGACGAATCTTACCCTATTTTTTTAGACTACTTAAGAAACACCCTGTAGAACGTAGGGGACTTTTTGCGTATACTTGCGTATACGAACGGGCCTATTTGAGAGGTTGTACTAAACAAATATACTCAAGCTGGTACTGCTGACGGTCGCTCTAATTAGATAAACAAATATTTGTATTAAAATAAATAAACTGACCGTACCGGCTGGAAATCTAACCCGTTATTCTTGGGCCAGCGTCAAACGCACTTGTTGCTGAGTCGCTGGCCTTAAAAATGCGATTATTAATACCTGCAGGGTCATTAAAGCACCCAGGTATTAGTATGACGTCACTTCTAACAGGTTAGGTTTTAATTTCTAAGTAGGTATTAGCATCGCCCCTGTACCTCCCAGACAACTACGTCACTAACCTCGGAGTACCTGCCTGACCACAGGCTCAGGTAACTCGATATAGACGACATGGTGGACCTCGAAACGCGTCGCGAAACCGTACCGTGCGAGAACACAATCACGTTCAAGTTCGTTTAGCAAATGAATGGTACCGGTATCTGACACGGAGAAAGAGATAGATTATTAGAAATTGTTAGTGGTGCGAGAAGGATAGACATAAATCAAGGTGACGATCGGGAGTGGTTAGGAGTTAGTACGTCGGTGTTTTCGTCATTAGTTTTGGTTTCTAACACATGTTTCTACGTTTGATTGGTATAAATGACATTTAGGTAAGTTTGACGTGTGGAAGCGTCTTAATTTATGACATAGATAAATTTGATTTATAATCAAAGAAGCTTTCTGAAGGCACAATGTTATCGGTGTTAATACATAACATCAACGCCAGCTCTAAAGATATAATTTATATTTATGATTTTTGGTTTCAATTAATGCCAGAAATTTTAAATATATAGTTATTTTCTTCATTTACAAACAAAAGATAAAACCTGTGATAAAACGTTGTTAACGAGCGTATTATCATTTATACATAAAAAATAAAGATGCCTACAAAAGAACTAAGTAGCACTAAACAGTTTACGATTATCTCATTTGTTTAATAGGTATGTAACAAGAATTCTTCTTGGTTGTAATTGAAACAGGTCAGATTTTATAACGCATATTGGAATAGAAAATGTATAGTTAATTCAATACTGTTAATATACAAATAATAAATTTGCTTCATTTCTAATGTACTCAAATGACATATAACCACGTAAACAATACTAAAATTCAAAACATAATGTTATGAATAGAAATACACGGGTTAAAAGTCAAAGTTGCTTAACCAGCTAAAAATATCGTTAAATAAATAGAAATATATTTTATAATGTAATCTTCTCTGGCATCAGAAGACATAAAACCGATACAAGATTTCTCCAAATATGTGATAATTAAAAGGGTTTTTTGTAGATACCAGATTATGTTAGATTTGTTAAAATATACCTAGATATAAAATTTAGGTATATCTTATTGAACAAAAAGATTAAAGGAGCACATCAACAAACCAAGACTGTAAATAAAAGTGAAAACACAAGGAAATACATATAATGAATTCGTTAATTCTAAGTAAATTTCATAATTAATTGGTTTAATTTTTTTAATTAAATATGGAGAATGTCATCGATCGTCATTTAAATGCCAACTGAAAATGACTTTCAAATGACGAATTTCACTTTTACCAGCAAAAATTATTCCTTTATTTATCTCGTTTTTTGACCGAGATCTACCGCATGCTATACAGGGTGAGTCAACGATAGAGTGAAGTCCATTATCTCATTTGTTTCAAAGCTTACAAAAAAATGTTAAATATAAAAATTACAGGGAATATTAGATACACATGTTGAAATTATTATGTAGTATACATGGTAAACAAAAAAGTGTGGCGGATATAAATATGTTTATTTAATTAATAGTTTTTGTAATATTTCAATTTCTTTCAACAAATGTTAGATTTTAGTGTGATAAAAAATGTTCAGTGATGCCATTGCTTCTGAAGTTAGACAACTAAAATTTGATAAAAGATATATGTAAAGATATTTTAATTAGTAGCCACAGGGTGTTCAAAATATAT